CATAAAGTTATGGAAAGTGAAGGCGGTCTTGGTGAGGCTGAACTTCCCTCACTCACCACGTGGGGTGTCCGTGGCCAAACCATTTGTCTCGCTCTCTAAAGGTCATGAGTATGTCTCATGGCTAGATATTTTTCATCGGAAACAACAGTGGATAGTCGCCAGAGCCACGGTGTTGGGGCTTTGTGAGACCCTCTCGGCCTGTGGTTGGCTGTTCTGTGTGGAGATAGACTGGGCCATTTAGGATCCAACCCAGTACAGTGAAGTCAATCGTCTCGACCCCCCCCCCTCCCCCTTTTTTTCCCCTCCCCATGTGATTGGCAACTTTCTGTCTTTCCAGACGATAGTGTTAAAGAGTGAGCGAGTGAGAGTGAGTGAATGAGTGAGTAAGTGAGAGTGAGTGAATGAGTGAGTAAGTGAGAGTGAGTGAATGAGTGAGTAAGTGAGAGTGAGTGAATGAGTGAGTGAGTAAGTGAGAGTGAGTGAATGAGTCAGTAAGTGAGAGTGAGTGAATGAGTGAGAAAGTGAGTGAAAGTAAGCGAGTGGGTGAGTGAAAGTGAGGCAGAGTAAGTGAGTGAGAGTGAGTAATTGAGCGAGTGAGTGTGCGTGCACATAAATATATATTTATATATTATTTAAAGTACCTAGCACTATACACTTGTTGTCTGTATAATTTATTGCAACAAAATTGTTCAAACAAAATTTACAGTATAACAAATCTGTGTAACAGTTCATAAAAAGCACTGGAAAAAATCACATGATTATCACTGAATTATTTTATAATAATCACATTAAGAGATCACCACATTAATGAACGCTTTTAAAAGAGTGTTTACATTTTAAAATATTATAAAATGTCCCATCTTTACCATGTCCAAGCAGCCACTATGATGTAGTGTTCAAATCCACATGCAGTCAGATTGTTTCTTCTTAAACATGACCTTGGCTCTCAGGTCAACGCAGGCTTAAATGGGCACCAGGTCTAGCCCTATATGCCCAATGGTGTTGAAAAGGGTCCTTTTACCAAATCCACTAGAGACTGGTGTTGATACTGTCTGCCCAAATGTCTGTTGTTATGTCTTCAGTTCTGACTAATTCTAAACACCCCCGCAAGATAGGTCAAGCCCTGCTGCACTGCGATTTATGAATGGGAAGGGAAGTCACTCTCTTTCTGAGCCCGAAAACGTGAGTTGTACCCTTTGAAGTAATGTTTTATTGTCCTCAGATTTTACCCTTTTTACAGTTCCTCTGTGGCTAAGTCGATGCGAATGCTTCGTAATGCCGGGGTGACGGGTTTGATCCCAGCTGCAGGCCATGCGCCTTGCGTTAGCTTCAACAGTGATATCAGGGGGCCGACGGTCCAGAAAGCAATGGCAAACTACCGGACATAAATTTGCTTAGAGAAATCACACAACAGCCAGGGGCTGCTGGGGTTGGTTCTGCAATGTCCTGTAAAGGATACGCAACTAACCTAACATTTCCATAACACTCTCTGTCCTGGGGTCACTTTGTCACTTGTACTCAAAAGCAGGAATGCCATCAATGTACTTTCTACTGAAGCAAAGACCCCTTCACTGGCTGGTACATGCCTCTTGTATATGAAGAAAGGATCCCCTATATGGTAAACTGGTAACTATCTCCCCCTCCCACCCAAATGGGACTCGGAAACCCGCACGGGAGGAGGAAGGAAGAGTGTTGCAGGATAAGATAATGATTTTAATTATATAGACTCATATCTCCCTGCCAAGTACAGAAATGTAAGTATCTGGACACATGGATAACATCAGATGGAAGATACATTACAAAGATAAGAAACAGAACAGGACAGACAAAAACTGCATTTTATAAAATGAAGAACATGTATGCATTATATCCCTGTCATTGAAGGTAAGTAACAGAATTCTTGCTTGCTACACAAATCCAGTTTTAACATATGGCTGTGAGTCCTGGACAATCGGTAGGCAGGCCAAACAATTTCTTGAGGCCTCAGAGATGTGGTTTTTACAGAAGAAAGCTCAAAATACCTTGGACAGCCAAGAGCAACCAAAAGGTTCTGAAACAGGCGGAAGCCCGAAGACAACTTATCACAGACATCAGAAAGGAGACAGTCATTATTCTTTGGCCATGTTATGAGAAGAGGGAAAATGGAACACGTTGTGACCACTGGAAAGATCTATGGAAGGAGGGATAGAGGAAGACAACAGGAGAAGATTTTTGACAGTCTTGTTGCATGGCATGGAGGTGTGTCAGTACACGAACTGATACATGCTGCAGGAGATCATAGATTGCGGAGAGGCATGATCACCTATGCCAGTTGGCAAGGCACCTATTGATGATCTCACTGCCAGGAACTGGAAGGTATTTAGATGTTATAATTATGTCAGGGTTCTCTTGTGTTAACATTATATTTCAGCTTGTATACTTGTCACTGAGGAGTGTCTGACTAAGCAGTTAGATTTCATGGGCTGTCCCATAAGCGACCTGGGTTCATATCCTCAGAAAGTAAGGGCATTTTCTTTTCGGTCTTCTTTCTTCTTGTGTCCTACTGCTTAAGCTGTAAAGCGTTGCAGAGAAGAATCAGAAGTAGTTTCCTGTTTTTTTTGCTAGTTGCCCAACTTGTCTTCTTCTTCTTCTTCGTGTTCACCAGCTGTTCACTCTGGCGGAAAGTTCTGGTTGTTCGTCCAGTTCTAAACTGCAGCCCTGCTCCAGAACCTGAGTGTTGTGTGTGCATCAGTTTTACAGATCTCATTCTCTTGAATACAGACTGTTGGTTCCTTGCCTCTCTGGCAGATGCACTCCGACTTCAAAGGAAGCTCCCCAATTAGTCGACTCTTACGACATGCTTTTGGGGAGGCAGTGGGTCTATTCTTGTTTTCCCCACAATGGGACCCTGGAACCCACACGGGGGCCATTCTGACCAAACCATTTGATTCTTTGATGTTCTAAGAAATCACTGGACTGTGTTTACAAGTGATTTTAGTTCTTTCTTGGTGACTCTGCCTCTTTATGTTATTTCCTGATGCCTTTCTTAAACATCTCATCTCATGTTTGTAATCTGATAAGCAGATAAATCACACTCAATCACAGACAATGAGGTGATAAATAATAACAAAGTGGTAAGATTAAAATCTGCCTAGCTACTGTTGTCAATGTTAAAGTGGCACAAGAGAAATATAAAAGTCAACTAAACGCTAGTTCCTGTATAGGTTCCGGGGCCCCTTGATGAGACAGGGAGGGAGGGAAAAGATTCAGTGTGTTCCTTAAAAACAAAGGGTAGTCTATGGTTAAGCACCAGCAAGGAAATCAAAATTAAAATATTTAGAGAGCATGCATCTTTTCTGTGGCTACATATGGATGTGAGTTGTGGACTATCTCCCAGTCCTTAACTCTTTCAGTCTCAACCAACGTATAGTGTGTGGTCAGCTATAATCTGTATCAAACAACAAATGATGTGTAATTATATATTTTACTTCTGGCTCCAGCATGCTGAAAAAATCTGGCTAGATATGCTAACATACAGTATCATATATATTGTTTCTTTTAAACTAATACACTGATACTCTTTTCATAGTTTCTCTTATCTCCTTGCGTATTTAAAACTAAATCTTCTGGTACCAAAAGAGTTAAGAGAGACATTATGGGTTTTTGAGCTGAAATGCTAAAGAAAGATTCTCAGAACACCATGGGCAAAGAAGAGAATAAAGACTGACATTTTAAGAGATCTGAACATCAAGGAAGATTTGCTAATAAACTGCATCTTGTCTCGGAAGCTGAAATATTTTGGTCATATCAAGCGCCATCGAGAACTAGAAAAAAATAATAGCAGAAGGTAGGGTACCAGAAGGGAGGGGCAGGGGCCGACCAACACGAAGATGGGCACAGGATATAAGTGACTCCTTGAATATGAAAGCACACGAGGTGGGAGAGCTGGTGAGAGACCGAGTTTCTTTCAGGCAGAACGTGATGACAGTGAAGTTCTGCAAAGGACCTGCTACATGATGATGATGAACAGAAGACAACCAATTAGGGGTTTACTGAAATAAGATTTGTTGGACCAAAAGACGGCTGATATCACAGCTTAGCTGTACGCCACGACATAAAGTGCCAACCACCTTTTAAGGATGAAATGAGAAGAAATTGAAGAAATTAAACACGGCAGCTCAGCAGCGCCATTAGGCTACTCTTTTCAATTTCCAACTGCCAAGGGATTTTTTTATGTGCACAACAATACATACGGGCATCCGATATCACTACCCAGAGACCAGGGGGAATTACTAGAAGTCCAAGTCCTCTTGAAGAAAAATCCCAGCCCTTACTGGGGAATTGAACCCAGAACCTCTAGAGCTCGAGGCGGACACTATGCCTCAAGACCACGCAGTCCCCTATAAGAAAAATACATGGACAATACACAACATTTATAGGGGAAAGATAGGCAAACTTTCAATCAGGTAACCAATGGCACAAACAGCACTGCACATATTAGTCATCTGCTGAAGACAGGGATGGAGTACATCTGAGAAAGTTTTAGATGCAGAATGTCAGTTCTTGAATCATTCATCTGACATTTCACAACAAGTATTCTACAACAAGGATTCTAAAACAGTTAACAAGGTCCCTTGAATTAACATATTCCTTAACATTCTTTAACATGGTCCTAATTCTTAGCACTTACCAGCTCTAAACTCCGGCAGAAAGTTCTGGTCGTTTGTACATTTCTGGACGTTAGTCTTGTTTCAGAACTGGAGTTTTGCGTGCACATCCATGATTTGAAAAAAAACGATCTGGCTTATTTGATTGCAGAGTGTCAGTTAATCAATTCTCAGGCAGATGCACTCCGACTTCAAAGAAAATTTCCCTAACTAGTTGCCGTGTACAACAGGCTTGTTAGGGAAGCAGTGGGTCTATTCTTCAAACCCCCAAAATGGGGCCCTGGAACCCACAAAAGGTAACCTGATGCTTCTAACTAATACATTATACAATAGCACTTGTCTTGATTTAGCTCGTCATGTTGGTTTCATCGCCACAATGACTTTCCTGGCATTGTTAATACAGTCATTTATAGCAGGCCCCCTGTACGAAGCCCCAACAAGTTTCAGGGGGAGTTTACTCTGCTGGATTTTGTTTTCTACATCTGCAACCCACTTCACGTGGCCAACTTTATACTGCGGTATGCATTCCTGGAAAACAAGAACAAAAAGAAGAATTAAGAGAAATATCTGCATTTTTAATATGTTGTGGGCTCTCTAGCTTAGAGGTTAGTGAAATAGTTTCACAATGCAATCCTTGTTGTGTACCAAGGTTTAATTTCTACGGTAGGCGGTTTAGAAAAAGATCATACTTGTGGTTTTCAGACAGCGGTACGAGACTCACACCCTAGAAGATATTGGGGCCTCACCAACCATTATTCCCTTATTCCCATAATTAAAAGTAAAAGTAAAGATCCCTTTTTTAGACCTTAGGCGCATTGGGAATATAGGAAGAGCACCCATATGTTTACAGACCAGTCGGCACTAGGTGGGTAATGATTTCCATAATTAGCAGTTTTTAATCCATTACTCAACCATTTTTTTTAAAAGTTAAGGTTCCATCACCTAGCTACTGAGATGGGTGCTTGACGCAACACTGTGAGCTGTGGAAATTTTTCTCTTTCCCTGTTCTGCCCATGGTGTCTTGTTGATTGCTTTGGCAGGTTACGTTTAGAATGGGATGTGTATTTTGTGGGTACAATGGCAGCTTTCACGACTGACCAGATGCGCTAACTGTGAGCTGCAATTCAGGTGCGGAATCATTAGTGCTGGCAATTTGACAGGTGCCTTATGTATTTTTATTCTGCATGTGCAAGCTACAAGATTTTGCTGAGACTGACCATTTCTTTTCAAAAGATTTCTACTGGCACAGGGATGGAGCCGTTATGGGGGTAACCCATCTGAAGTGATGTTGGAACCTCGACAAACAACCTGAAAGTTTGTTTTTTTTCTTTTCTTTGCTCATCTATTTCTTACTGAATGGCACCTGTATTGTGTCTTTACAGCTAAGCTGTAATTTCTACAATGTTACTGAAACTTCAAGAGGAAATAAGTGCTCTAAACATCCGGTGGTCTTGGGACAGAGTCTCTCTGTCAGCATGAACAACATGGGTGAAAAACCAAGAGAAGATGGAAATGGCTTGGCCACGTTATGAGAATGACTTCTGATATACCTGCCAAAACAACTCTCACATGGACACCAGAGGGAAAGAGAAAACAGGGGCACCCAAAAACAACATGGAGACGAACGAAGGAAAGTGACCCGAGTGCGGCATCTTTGACATGGAAAACTGCACTGAAGATTGCGCAGGACAGGAAAGCATGGAAAAACCTCTCTGAAGCCTCATGTGCCACTAGGCATAACGAGAACCGATGATGATGATGATGTAATATCTGCATTTTTCTTCTTCTTTGCGTTCACCAGCTGTAAACTCGGGCGGAAAGTTCTGGTTGTTTATCCACTTCTGGACCAGAGTGTTGCGTGTGTATCCGTTTTACAGATCTGACTCATGTGTATGCAGACTGCTGGTTCCTTGCCTCTCAGGCAGAGGCACTCCGACTTCGAAGGAAGCTCCCAAATAGTCGACTCTAATGACATGCTTCTGGGCAGGCAGTGGGTCTATTCTTGTTTTCGCTATAATGGAACCCCGGAACCCACACGGGGAATATCTGCATTTAGAAACGGCTCTTGAAAACCTACCTCTTGTAATGTAACGTGAGATCTGATTGGCCGAGCCTTAATGCCTAAATGTGCTGCTGCCGCCTGAGTTGCCATCTGCAGAAGATCAGATCCAGACGGGAGGGAGCCGTCAGAGTTGAGGAGTTTGTTGTACCAGGAGCCTCCCAGCATAACCTGAAAGTAAAAAAAAAAATTAAAAATAGTTCAAGGTTAGTCTTTTCAGAGAAAGTAGGTCACGTTCCATTGATAACTTTTTTAGACTGGTCTGCTTTCTGGAAAGGGGGGGGGGGGGGGGTGTTTACAGGTGTGCTGATATGTTGTTTGCTTTCTGGTTTGTTTTGCATTTACATTTTTCTTCCCAGAAAGAGAATGCCTGTGACATAGGTTGCAGCACTCTCTAGGTGGAGTTGTGTTAGACCAAGTTTCTCCATGATTTTGTAGTGTTAAAACATGCGATATCAACGGCATTACGGAACACTCCCATAGCAGTGTGCGAAGGTCGTGCGGCTCAGGAACTACCAATCAGAAGTGAGCTAGTGTGTATATGGGCGGTCTTTGGGGGGACTATCATGGAACTCACCAAAATTAAATTTAAAAAAAATGACAGATCAAAGACAAGGTGATTATACATGATTAGCTTCCTTCCTAAGTCTCTAGTCTGGAACTCACAAAGTTAATGAAAAAGCAGGAGATCTAAAACACACACGAGAACTGGGGACAAGAAGTCAATAATATGGAAATAGATGAAAACTATAAACTAGAAACAAATGAAAAATACAAACCAATTAGAGAAATTAGATGCAGACCAACTTTGAAAAGACACCAGGTCTTACGAGCAAAGTGTGCAGAGCAAGCTGTGGGGAACCATGAAGGACCTGCTGCTGACATGCGAGTTCATAGAGGCAACACACCTGATGGTCTGGTCTGAGCATTCGAAACCGAATGCAAAGAAGAAGAAGATGCAGATAGTCTATGTGTTTTTTTAAAACGTGTTTTGAGAAGAAACTCAAAAACACTTGGTAATCTTCTTCTTAGCCTTCACTGACTGTAAACTCTGGTGGAAAGTTCTGGTTGTTTATCCACTTCTGAAATCTGGTCTTGTTAAAGAGTCTGAGTTTTGCAGCACATTCATTTTACATATCTGGCTTATGTATATGCAGACTGTTGGTTCCTTGCCTCTCAGGCTCCAACCCCCCCCCCCCCTCCCCCTCCCCCAGAACCCATTGGGAGAGAATCTAAGCAGTGTTGTTCAGTCATGTGTTGAGAATAAAGGCACTAGAAAACACTCTGATGACTGGAAAGATCAAACATACAAAAGGCAGACCTAAAGAAACAGGCTTGGTGCCTTGAAGCATCAGTATGGAGGTAGATCATCAGTGGAGTTAATTCACAATACCAAAGATCAAGATCTGTGGATTTTGGTATGACAAGGTCTGTAAATCTCTGGAGAACTGCCTTATCCATCTTATGGGCACCAATTCACCGAGGGGATTTAACATCCAACAAATTTATCTAATACATTTGAGTTACCACCATTGTTGCTTGTGGCTTTTTCTAACCAGTATTTATTTTCACCTACATTACACCTGCCTATATACAAAATCATCTACTGTGATCTGCCAATAAAGAATTACATCTACCTGTTTACACTCATATCTCCTTATATAAACTTAAATAGGGTGCGACCGCACTCGAGCTGATTGCAAGAAACGCTAAATACAATACAAAATGTGACCAGAAAGCTCAATGGAGCGAATGGAAAAGACGCACACAAACACAGCTGAACATTTCGACCAAAGTCTTCATCAAGAGAGTACTAAATATAGCACAAACTGTGATTAGAAAACTCAACGGGCAAGACAACTGTTGTTTTGCCTGTTGATTTTTCTAGTCCCATTTGGTGTTATATTTCCCATATAAACCGACACTTTCACAAACTTACACTCAGACGTGTGCTGTTGGGACTACCCTTTCTGCCGTGCTGCGGAAAGGTGCAAGAATCGTACACCACACCTAGCAAAGGTCCATTCTCTGAAGACGGCAACAAGTGACCAAATCCCTGTAGAAGACATTGTCTTGAATAGGTAAACATACACCGGAAAGCCACTGCATCAACAAGCTGTATTTACATCAAAACACAACACACTCCTTCAGAAATATTTTCTGCCTGGATCCCTCACATATACTGCATGGATCCCTCATATATACTGCATGGATCCCTCACAAATACTGCATGGATCGCTCACAAATACTGCATGGATCCCTCACAAATACTATATGGATCCCTCACAAATACTGCATGGATCTCTCACATATACTATGCTCCATGGAACTCCTGCAAATTCTCTGTTACATGGATCCCTCACAAATACTGCATGGATCCCTCACATATAATATGCTCCATGGAACTCCTGCAAATTCTCTGGTACTTGGATCCCTCACAAATACTGCATGGATCCCTCACATATACTATGCTCCATGGAACTCCTGCAAATTCTGTTACATGGATCCCACACAAAAACTGCATGGATCTCTAACGAATACTGCTTGGATCCCTCACAAATACTGCATGGATCTCTCACAAATACTCTCTGCCCACTATCTCAATGGCACAGTCTAACACCTTCTTCAGTTCCATCTTGTCCCCTTTGGCAGTACTGTCAGCTTTGGGAACAGCCAACACACAAAAAACAAGCAGCCAAGTCAGGAGAGTACAGAGCCTGGTCAACCAGACTGCATTGTATCTGGCCAAGAAAATCGGACACTGATAGGGCGAGTGCCTGTGGGTGACTTGGCAGCTCCAGCACAACAATACACCCTTATTTACTTACTTACTTAGTTGCTCCTCTTCTACCTCGGGGTGTAGAGGTTTGCCAGAGAGATCGGCAGACGTCTCTATCAGCAGTTTTCTTTCTGGCTTTGTTCCATTCCAGTCCTCTGTCAGTTAGGGACTGTCGGATGTTGTCTTCCCAGCCCACCCTGGGTCGCCCTGGTGGTCTGGTTCCCTGGTTCTAAGCCTCCCATGCCTGCCATAGTGGCCGATTTTCTCCCATTCTGCATACATGTCCAAACCATCGTAGCTGTGACTGATCCACTCGGGTTTGTAAGGACTGGGTATCAAGATCTTGAAATGACAATACACCCATCCACTTTAAACATCTGATTCACATACAAAAGTAAAAAATAATTACACAAAATAATTATCTAACTCCACGTCCAAACAAATCAGCATCGCAGTCAAGGTCAACATTTACAAATCACTGGTGCTGTCAATTTTCTGAGACGGATGTGGGAGTTGGATTCTCTCTGTGGAAATGGGAAGGAGGATTCAGGCTTTTGAATGTAGATGCTACAGACGCATTTTACAAATTAGTTATTTAGAACACCAAACCAACCAACTCACCTTCACAGGTAGCACGTCATCTTTGTACTCCAGGTTAACAACGATCACGTTCACAGATTCTAGAGAAGAAAGTTCTTTTCTGAGATCCGACAGGGACGCAGGCAGAAGTGGCGCCAAATCTGAGGACAGTGATTGCATTTAGTCCCGGGTAGGAGTAACTTGTATCACTGTTTACTCACTAACACAACATGGGTTCCCGGGCCCCATTGTGAGGGAGAACAAAGAGACCCACTGCCCACTGGGGGTTCCGGGGCCCCATTGTGAGGGAAAACAAAGTGGCCCACTGGGGGTTCCGGGGCCCCCCTGTGAGGGAAAACAAAGTGGCCCACTGCCCACTGAGGGTTCCGGGGCCCCATTGTGAGGGAAAACAAAGAGGCCCACTGCCCACTGGGGGTTCCGGGGCCCCACTGTCAGGGAAAACAAAGAGGTCCACTGCCCACTGGGGGTTCCGGGGCCCCACTGTCAGGGAAAACAAAGAGGCCCACTGCCCACTGGGGGTTCCGGGGCCCCCCTGTGACGGAAAACAAAGTGGCCCACTGGGGGTTCCAGGGCCCCACTGTCAGGGAAAACAAAGAGGCTCACTGGGGGTTCCGGGGCCCCACTGTCAGGGAAAACAAAGAGGCCCACTGCCCACTGGGGGTTTCGGGGCCCCACTGTCAGGGAAAACAAAGAGGCCCACTGCTCACTGGGGGTTCCGGGGCCCCACTGTGAGGGAGAACAAAGAGGCCCACTGTCCACTGGGGGTTCCGGGGCCCCACTGTGAGGGAAAACAAAGAGGCCCACTGCCCACTAACATGGATGTTGTAAGAGTTGATTAATGAAGGGTGTTTGCTTCTAGGTTGGAGCTCATCTGCCTGAGAGGTAGGTAGGTTGTACCCCATCAGGACATCAAACAAGGGATAAACATCTGGTGACACAAAGTGCCACCATGCGGATGAGGATCACCCGGGGAGAGGCCCCGGAAACCCTGTTCAGATGTTAGGCCATTTTTATGGCCCAGCTATATTAAGGGCCCCCGGCAAAAGCCAGGGTGGGGCTTCAGAATAACAACAACAACAAAATGCATCTCATAGGGGAACTGACAGTCAGATATAACCTAAGAGGTGAGGAACCAGCAGTGTGCCTGCAAACGAGCCAGATCTGTAAAACAGATGTGCATGCAAAATTCAGGTTCTGAAACAAGACTAAAGTCCAGAAGTAGATGAGCAGCCTGTACTTTCTAATAGAGTTTACAGCCGGTGAACGCAAAGAAGAAGTAGAAAAAGAAGTGTGGGATACAGAAGTGATAATCTACACATGGCAGGGCACCACCACCACAGCTCCTAATGGTCAAGACCGGCCAACACCTTCCCGTGGTCATCTAAGAAGCAGGTTCCCAGCCAGTGGCCTGGCTAACGTTGCTATGATCAACATTTGTCTTAAAAGCTGGAGTGGATCTGCTTCACCTGGGTAGAGAATTGACATCACATAACTCAGGACAAGCCCATATCAGCTCTGTCTTCCTCCTCAGCAGCAAGCAAAAAGTCTCCACACTGATGATACCCATTGTCATCTGGTAAACTACTCATCTTGCGTCCCCCTCTCCTCAGTTTCCTCTGGTGCCCACATCCTCCGCTGCAACATTCTCTCCAGGTACTGTATTTCAATGGCGGCGTCCGTGGCTTAGGCATTGCGAGTCCGACTCGTAAGCCAGCATACCGCGATCGAAACCCACTGCAGGCTGCGTGGATTTTTGTCGTGGTATGGGATGTCGCAGGTCGACCCAGCCTAAAATGGGTATCAGGATGGGCTGTCCTGGGAAAGTAAAGACAGCCGGTGTAATGCTGACCACATTACCCACAGAGTGCTGATGGTCTGTAAAAATATTGGACGCTCTGCCCATATGCCCGATGCGCCGAAAGGCGTGAAAAGGGAACTTTACTTTTTTACTTAACTTACTGTATTTCAATATCTCTCATTTTACATGCTACCTCATCCCACAGGTGTGGGAACACCGCTGCCTTGTAATGTTGCAGAAGACCCCTCCCCCCCCCCCCCCAAGTGGGGATAGTCCAGCCAACCTATCTGCCTGCTCATTCCAAAACACGCCTACATGGTTGAGACAAATATTCATGTACCTCTTCCTACCTGCGACCAATTCCGTACGAAGAAAACCTGACTCCACATGCTTTCCAAATCTGATACCCTGACCAAATGTGTGAATAAGAAATTGCATCTGCCTGAGAGGGTAAGAAACCAACAGCCAATAAACTAGTAAGCCAGATCTGTAAAACAGATGTGCAAGCAAAACCAAAGTCCTGGAACAAGGACTGAAGTCCAAAAGTGGACTGCAACCGGAACTTTCTGCTGAAGCTTAAAGCCAGCAAACGTAACAACAACAACAACAACAAAAAGAACTCTTAAGGGCCTGACTTCTTATTCTAATTTAAATTTTAAGGCCCTTAGCAATGGTTGTCAGCTGGCCTAGGAGGGAAGCTCTTCCAACAGGGAGATAGACAGAGCACTGCTCTTCTGATCCAGCAGCTTATGTGGCATGTACAAATAGGACATACAAGTACAAGGACATGTACAAATAGGACATATAAGTACAAGGACATGTACAAATAAGACATATAAGTACAAAGACATTACAAATAGGACATACAAGTACAGGGACATGTACAAATAGGACATACAAGTACAAGGAGATGTACAAATAGGACATATAAATACAAAGACATTACAAATAGGACATACAAGTACAAGGACATGTACAAATATGACATACAAGTACAAGGACATTACAAATTGGACATACAAGTACAAGGACATGTACAAATAGGACATACAAGTACAAGGTCATGTACAAATAGGACATGAAAGTACAAGGACAAGTACAAATATGACATGCAAGTACAAGGACATGTACAAATACGACATAAAGGTACAAGGACATTACAAATAGGACATACAAGTACAAGGACATGTACAAATAGGACATACAAGTACAAGGACATGTACAAATAGGACATACAAGTACAAGGACATGTACAAATAGGATATACAAATACAAGGACATGTACAAATAGGACATACAACTACAAAGACATTACAAATAGGACATACAAGTACAAGTACAAATAGGACATAAAAGTACAAGGACATGTAAAAATAGGACATACAAGTACAAAGACATGTACAAATAGGACATACAAGTACAAGGACATGTACAAATAGGATATACAAACACAAGGATATGTACAAATAGGACATATAAGTACAAAGACATTACAAATAGGAAATACAAGTACAAGTACAAATAGGACATACAAGTACAAAGACATGTACAATTAGGACATACAAGTACAAGGACATGTACAATTAGGACATACAAGTACAAAGACATGTACAATTAGGACATACAAGTACAAAGACATGTACAATTAGGACATACAAGTACAAGGACATGTACAAATAGGATAAACAAACACAAGGATATGTACAAATAGGACATATAAGTACAAAGACATTACAAATAGGACATACAAGTACAAGGTCAAATAGGACATACAAGTACAAAGACATTACAAACAGGACATACAAGTACAAGAAGGACACTCCCAAGTGCTTACCTCTGCTGTAGATGGATGAGATCACCAGGTCCGCTTCTATAGAATCACCTTCAGTTCTCACCTGTACAGACACACACACAAACTGTGCACAACTGACTGAATAATATGTACACATTAGACAACTTACAAAATACACAGTGCTTCCAAAAGAATATCAGTATTTAGAATGTATATCTTTTGTTAACTTATGCACGTTTTTTTAAGTTGCAAGTTTACAATGCATATGATGATGATGATTATAGTCTTAATAATTGTAAAGTTAACTCTTTCACCCTGGGAACGCTAAATAAAATACATCACAACCTCGTTAGCAATCAAGAAAATAATCCACTACAAAAATGTGTTTACCCTTGTCACTAGAAATTTTTTTTTAAATGCGTATATCTACATAAACATTTTTTCTGACTATATAAAGATATTTCACAGGAGTAGTCAATAAACACCAACAGAATGAAGCAGTAAATGGAATACATCCCCCATAAATGGAATACATCCCCCATAAATGGAATACACCCCCCCCCCCCCCCCCCCCATAAATTGAATATACTCCACAGGGCATTAATAAACCCACACTTATCAAGTGACCCATGCCGTGACCCTGTGATCTCAATCACTGAGGCTTACATGGAAACTCTAATGTCAACTTAGCTTTAAAAACATTCAAAGACTTCAAGTCTGAGTCCGAAGAAACTCAACACAGTGCACAGGCTCTGTAGCACCGGCGAGGATCCTGAAATACTTTGGGTAGATTTTTAACTCCAAATTTTGCCCAGGCAGCGCCATTAGGCTTCTCTTTTGGATTTCCAACAGCCAAGGGATTTTTTACGTGCGCAACAATGCACACGGGGCGTCCGATCTCACTACCCTGAGACCAGGGCAAATTACTAGAAGTACAAGAAACAGGAAAAAATCCCAGCCCTTACCGGGAATTGAACCCAGAACCTCTAGCGCTCGAGGTGGACATCATGCCTCAAGACCACGCAGCCTCCCTCTTCTTACGAGAAGTCTAAACCACTTTAATCTAAAATAAAAATTGGTATTCTACGTCACCTTGACTTACCACAACCTTTCCATTATCCTTCGGCTGAATCGCCAGACACTTAGAATGTGTCCGAACCTCCCCTCCTCGTGTGTTTGTTACTGCATCAGCAATGGCGTCTGTTAGCTGTTGAAGCCCGTATCGTAGAGACCATGAAGCCCATTTACAGTCCACGGCTTCTCTCACAAGTCCAGACGCTTCCACTTTGGGACCTGAAATTATGCTTGAAATTTGAGTTGAGTTAAGAATTGACAACACAGCACTCGCATTCCCATTAGCACTTCTCCCCATCCTCAGCAGCCAGCACAGAGTTCCAATACTAATGGTGCCAGTCATAGTCTGGTTGCATGTCCGTCTTGATTTTGCTCTGAGCATAGTGTGCCGGCCGAACCCTCTGGTCACACCCGGGTGCATCATTCTCTCCAGCCCATAATAATCTAGTTTCTCCTCTGACTTCCTTACTTGTTCCTAAAGGGCTTTGCCCACATCTGCTTTGTCACGCATCAATTCACCACCCAGCGGTGCAGATCCAGCCAATCTGTCTGCCTGTTCAATCCCCACCACACCGGCATGACCTGGAGAAAAGATCCAAAGTATGCTCACTACCCATGGCCTTGCTTCAAATCTGAGTTTACTCAAGAACTCATATCATGGCACTTGGGAACATTCCTATAAGTGCTCCGTCCTCATCTGCGTTAAAAATGTATGTGTCCCTCTGAGCACTGGAGGGGAATCGGCTGACAATGTGCTCAACGGCTGTAAACTCCAGCAGAAAGTTCTTGCTGTCTATCGACTTCTAGACTTTAGTCTTGTTCCAAAACTTGAATTTTGCATGCATATAAATTGTAGAAATCTGGCTTATTTTTATGCAGGCTGTTGGTTCCTCGGCTCTGACTTCAGAGGAAACATCCTTAATTAGACAGGCAGCTGCGGGGCTTATAACAGACTCACGACAACACAACCTTCCACAAACATTATATACAGCCAGTGAATGCCCAGTGAAGCCATCTCATAACACCCCCACAACATAAGGAAAGCTGTACGACCGGCCGCAGCATGAATGGGAGGGAAAGGAACTCCCGCCTTGCGGGCAGGTTCAAGAAAAGTTACAGAAAAAAATATACACAAAGATAAAACACAGAAAAGATCAAAATATACAGAGAGACTGACAAATAAAAAGATATAAATGAGAAAAACACACATAAAAACAGGTGCAGATAAGGTCTTCAGTGAATTCAGCATTTCAAGAACACACTCATCAACAGTTCAAGGTACAAGGTGGAAAAAAAGAAGAAGAAGAACTCATCAATAACAGTGATATACTTTTGGAGCCAAACAGAAGACCAGCAACCAGTGACCCGTGTTTCTGCTCCATCTCATGCAAAGGAGGGAAGCAAGCTCGGACACTCAAACTGCGGCAGTCACCAGCGAAAATTCCCCGACACATGGCATCAATAGCAATATCAGCCACCTGAAAGACACCACATCACATTTTTTTTATATATATGGAACAAGCAGTCTATATAACTCAGTGTTCCAGTGTGGGTTCTGGAGCTCCATTGTGGGGTTCTGGAGCTCCAGTGTGGGGTTCTGGAGCTCCAGTGTGGGGAGAACAAGAACAGAGCCACTGCCTCCCCAACAAGCATGTCCTAGGAGTTAACTGGGGCTGGGGGGGGGGGGGGGGAAGGGGGGTATGCTTTAAAGTCAGCGTACATCTGTGTGAGCGGCAAATAACCAAGTGTCTGCATACAAATAAGCCAGATGTGTGAAACGGATGTGTACGCAACACTATGCTTCCAAAACAAGACTGAGGCCCGGAAGTGCACGAACACCTAGAAAGCTCTTGCGGAAAGTCCTGGTTGTTCGTCCATTTAGACTTTGGCTTTGTGCGAGGACCTGAGTTTTGCATGTACATCTGTTTTACTGGCTTATTTGTGTGCAGTTGTTTGTTCCTTGTTGCTCGGGCAGATACATTCCGATTAAAGCTCCCAGTTGGATGACTCCTATGACATGCTTGGGGAGGCAGTGGGTCTGTTCTTGTTTTCCCCCAGAATGGGACCCCGGAACCCACATGTGGACAATGTATTAAATATCAACAATTCTTAGTGCGTGGCTTAGGCGCCGTAATTCCAGTGTACGCGACTGAAACCCACTGCTGGCTGCATGGATTTTTATCATGGTATGGGGCGTCGCAGGTCGACCCAGCCTAAAATGGTTAGCAGGATGGCTGTTCTGGGAAAATAAAGACAGCGGGCTTAATGCTGACCACATTACCCAGCCAGCCCTGATTGGTCTGTAAAAATATAGGGCGCTCTTCCCATATGCCCAATGCGCCTAAGGCGTGAAAAGGGATCTTTACTTCATTACTGACTAATTCTTAGTTGTCAGGAAACAACAGGTTTGTTCTGGATCAATAAGTGGTGAACTGTTGCATGACGACGAGCTAGATGTACTTAAGGCCTTATGGCAGCAAGCGGGCAATGCAGAAGTGCAAACAGATCATTATTGTCTGGAGATTATCGTACAGCTCGGAGTGACCAATGAAATCCAGCCAATACTCTACGCTAGGGAAAGGCAAGAAATATAATCAAACTGCGCTGCTAGCTGAAGATGTGATCAGTACATTTATGGGAATATTCTGAGTGCTGTGATGTCAGTTCTCGACTTAGATCAACTCAAAACTATGGTGATCTCTTGCTCTCATATCAGATTACTTAGTTCTCATTTTAGATTACCTAGTTCTCATGTCAGATTACTTAGTTCTCATATCAGATTAACTAGTTCTCATATCAGATTACTTAGTTCTCATATCAGATTACTTAGTTCTCATATCAAATTACTTAATTCTCATTTCAAATTACTCAGTTCTCATATTAGATTACTCAGTTCTCATATTAAATTACTCAGTTCTCATATTAAATTACTCAGTTCTCATATTAGATTACTCATTTCTCATAATAAATTACTTAGTTCTCATATTAGATTACTCAGTTTTCACATTAAATTACTCAGTTCTCATATTAGATTACTCAGTTTTCCTTATTATTAAACAGATGGATGATCGGAAAGGCATTAACCGCCTAAAAACTGCAGTGGAAAGTTCTGGTTGTTCGTCCACTCCTAGACTTGGTCCCCATTCAGAACTTGAGCTTTGCGTGCACATCCATTTTACAGATCTGACTTATTTGTATGCAGACTGTTGGTTCCTTGCCTCTCAGGCAGATGTACTTTGCCTGCAGAAAACACCCCTAGTTAGTTATCTTCTATGACAGGCTTGTTGGGAGTCGCGTCTCGACGGAGCCGGACTTTTGTTTCTTCTTCAATGACCTTGACTCCCAGGTTGACCCAGCCTTGAGTGAGTACCAGGTACAGTACTGGGAAGTAAAGGCGGCCAGTGTGATGCTGACCACATCACCCACCAAGTGCCGATATGTCTATAAAAATATAGGTCTAGCCCTGTATTTCCAATACTCCTAAAGGTGTGGAAAAGGGTCCTATGACAGGCTTGTTAGGGGACAGTGGGTCTTTGGTCTTTGTTAGTTAGTTAGTTAGTTAGTTAGTTAGTTAGTTAGTTAGTTAGTTAGTTAGTTGGGTTATCCTCATTGCACTCCGGAGATGTCCATAGGTGCTCAGATCCTCCCCTCAGTATGAACCCTAACGTCCGATGGCTAATAGTACCAGTTCTATGTTGATTAACAAGTCTTCTGGCGTGTCTGGTGTGCGTCTCGTTTTTTGCTGTGCCGATCTTAATTCCCAAGTCTGCCATTCTGGCGAGTGATGTGGATTCACTGCCACCAAAGTCCTCTATCCTTCCCATTTCTCTGAGGGTATTGATAATATCAGCATGATCCATAGGCTGACCGTCGGTAGTGATAGCGGATCCAGCCAACCTGTCAGCTCTTTCATTTCCATCGACGCCTGCGTGTCCCGGAACAAAAGTAAAGGTGACTCCAGGCACAGTTGACTTCTGTAACGATTCAAGCCATTGTCTTCGCACTGAACCTGCCTGAACTCTCCGGATCATACTCAAAATGGAGACCAGGAACCCACAAGGGGATTTTGGGTCTATGATGACGAGGATAATTAATTCTTCTACTTCTTTGCATTCACCGGTTGTAAACTCAGGCGGAAAGTTCTTTTTGTTTGTCCACTACTGGACTGCAGTCCTGTTCCAGAACCTGAGTGTGGCATCCGTTTGACAGATCTGACTAATTTGTATGCAGACTGTTAGTTCCTTGCCTCTCAGACAGATGCACTCAGACTTTGAAGGAAGCTCCCAATTAGTCGACTCTTTTGTCGACAAAATGCTTTTGGGTAGGCAGTTGGTCTAATCTTGTTTTCCCTTTATTAGGGCCCTGGAACCCACTCAGGGAGGTGATAATTAATAAAGGCACACATAAGCTCAAGACAATTACGTGAAAGATTTACCTCCCTACCCAACCTCCGACTAACAAAACTGTGCACCGTCTCATCCGGCTCTTTACTTCGTCTGTGGAAAGGCTCGGCAGCAAGTACTTTAATCAGAGGTTCCGAAAATGGAGGCACTTTTTTAAACAGACTGGTCACACCTGGCGAATAAAATAAATGTTAGTTGCATATCCTTTATATGTTGAATGCTCTATTAACAATCCACATCACAGCACACAGGAAACCCTCATAAACACTCCGTCCCAATCTTCAGCAGCAAGTGAAGAGTTAAAATGGTACCAGTAACTGTCCTGCCTTCCCCCTGAGCATCAAGAGTCAGCCAGATCTTCTTGTAACTCGTCGCAGTGCCATTATCCCCAGAGGGTAATGATCTATCTGTGCCTCGGCACTGTTCACTCGCTCCCAAATGGCTCTCACAATATCCAACTCGTTTATCCTTTCATATCTTTTATAAACAAACAGGCAATAAAAATGGAAAACAGAGGGATTGCAGAAGTGTGGACATCCAAAAGAAACCCTAAAAAGAACTCTGATGAGAGAGGCCAAGGGTGCTGGACTGAAAACCATCCATGATATTGAACTAATTGCACAGGGCAGAAGAGAATGGAGGAACAGATTACAAGGCCTGTGTGACATATAATGGCTTCACAGGACAATGAATGGCATGAGGACAATGAATGGCAAGAGGACAATGAATGGAATGAGAACAATGAATGGAATGAGGACAATGAATGGAATGAGAACAATGAATGGCATGAGGACAATGAATGGCATGAGGACAATGAATGGCATGAGGACAATGAATGACATGAGGACAATGAATGGCATGAGGACAATGAATGACATGAGGACAATGAATGGCATGAACCTTCTTTACAGGATGTTACATTGACAGTCTTGTTGCATGGCATGGAGGTGTGTCCGCAGACGAACTGATACATGCTGCAGGAGATCGCAGATTGTCGAGAGGCATGATCGCCCATGCCATTCAGCAAGTCACCTCACGATGATGATGACAGGTCTGTGGCTTAGGCATTGGGAGTCTGACTCATAATTCCAACATACCGCCATCAAAACCCAGTTGGCTGCGTGGATTTTTTTTCATGGTATGGGGCGTCGCAGGTCGACCCAGCCTCAAATGGGTACCAGGATGGGCTGTCCTGGGAAAGTAAAGACGGCCGGTGTAATGCTGACCACATTACCCACCGAGTGCCGATTGGTCTGTCAAAATATGGGTGCTCTTTCCATATGCCCGATGCACCTAAGGCGTAAAAAGGGATCTTAACTTTTTTTTTTTTGGATGTTGCGGAACCAGCCCAGCATTTCCCTCCTGTTTGTGGTTTCACTAGACTATTTGTACATTCACTAGTAGTTTGCCACTGCTCAATCAATCAATCAATCAATTAACAACGACCACTTTCAGCTGAGGGCCAAAAAAAACATTGCTGCTTTCTGCCCTGTCCGCTTTTTCGTGGTGACGTTTCTCGTCTTTATCTCATCTGGTTTTGAACTGTGCTTTCAGTATTCTGTCGCTTGTTGTGGTTTCTTGCCGTTTGGCTGTTTTCGTATCTGGCTCGCCTTGCACTGTGCTCCGGATCGCTGGATTGGCTGCTCCGCCGTCAAGGTGATTCCGGGTGGGTTTGATTGGCCGGTTGGTGTGTCCAAAGAGGGTGATCTGCAGTTATTTGCCTTGGGTGGATTTGCCACTGCTCCCAAACAGTCGGCTCTGATACAACTGTCGAAACCAACACAAGGTGGTCTGCTACCAAATCGCCCACAGCTAGGACCAAAACTGGATCAGAGCTAGAGACCTAGGGATCAAAACTGGATCAGAGCTAGAGACCTAGGGATCAAAACTGGATCAGAGCTAGAGACCTAGGGATCAAAACTGGATCAGAGCTAGAGACCGAGGGATCAAAACGGGGTCAGAGTTAGAGACATAGGGATCAAAACTGGGTCAGAGCTAGAGACCTAGGGATCAAAACTGGATCAGAGCTAGAGACCTAGGGATCAAAACTGGATCAGAGCTAGAGACCTAGGGATCAAAACGGGATCAGAGCTAGAGACCTAGGGATCAAAACTGGGTCAGAGCTAGAGACCTAGGGATCAAAACGGGATCAGAGCTAGAGACCTAGGGATCAAAACTGGGTCAGAGCTAGAGACCTAGGGATCAAAACAGGATCAGAGCTAGAGACCTAGGGATCAAAACTGGATCAGAGCTAGAGACCTAGGGATCAAAACTGGATCAGAGCTAGAGACAATCAGACATTTGCTGGATCAGAGATTTGCAGACGACAATGAGGTGATTGTGGGTGGTGCAAACTATGTTACTGGTAACACCCAAGACTTTAACCTGACAGGCATTCACAATCTTGTGGTTTGTGGACTACATGTGTTGCAAGGCAGGGAGAGACTATGTCAAGAAACAGGACAAAAAACAATTTTGTTCTGGCTGCCTGTAAAAAAGTTTTTTAATGCAACTGCCTTAACTTGATGACTTCAGTTGTACTACTACTGTGGGTTTGTGTGAAAGTGTGAAGTTGTGTGTGGATATGTGTGGATATGTGAAATGTTGGTGCAAGTCAAACTTTACTGGTGGCTGAGTGAATTACAAAAGACAGTGAAGTTCATACGAGAGACAACATAGCAGATATAGAAAATCTATTTCAAGTGAATGAAAGAAGAAGAAGAAGAAGAAATGTGAATGTGGGTTACTAAACAAAACGAAGCACTCACTGTTAGGCAGAGCCCAGAGTTTTCCCTTGACATAAAGGTAGCGATTTTTCGCTGCTGGATCTGATCGCAGAATCGGCAAAACATCCCTAGTCAAACCGAGCTCTTCAGCCTGAAGAATTCAATTTTACAATGAATCCATAAATGTTGGACCAGAAGAAAAGGATAACAATGATAAGAAAACCATGCAACAAGAAATTTATCGGCAACAAATTAAACAGTCGATCAGTTGATTTCTAAAAAATACGATGCTCTCTTCTGATTGTTTTGTTTATTTGCATCTTTATTTAGCCATTTTATTAACAAAAAAAACAAAAAAATTCTCCTAAGTTCATCCTTGAAAAGGGTTGGCACATTATGATTTATAGAAAAGCTTGACATGTTCACTTTTCAGCCCAAACATATCTGATTTTAGCAAGCCGCTAATCAGTTGCCTTTTATGACATGCTTGTAAGGGCACAGTGGATCTATTGCTCTCCCTTCCCCTGGAACCCACAAAGGGAATTTAATTAATTCTATTAATGAATCTTTTTATTTTACTTCTTAACACCCCCCCCCCCCTTTTCCTCTTTTTCATCTTCTTTATCTTCGGACAATAACATCAGGCAGTAGTCAATTTGAGCTTAACAACAAGAGTACTGAGATGCCTTTCCGGATTCATCAAAGATGAAAATAGTGGAGAATGGAGAATGGGAGGGTAAAAATTACTGGATGACTTAGTTACACAATACAAGTCAGACAAGAACACACACCTGATCTAATACTTTGGTGGTCGCGTGAAATGGTAAAACATGACCGATTAGGCTTATCTGCAGGGTACCCTGGGATCAGGACTGTCTTAATGCATGGGCTCACTGGACATTTGCAGGGGGTTTCACACAGCATAGGTAGGGGCAATAAAGATAATCTGTGAATGTTAAGTGACTAGTCCTCATAGGGGCCCCAGCACACTGGTTTGCAAGGGGGCCCATAATACTGTTAAGATGGCTTTGTTGGGACAGCTCCGCATCAGAAGACTGAGCATACACGGGAATGGCTAATGTGCAGTGAACATTGATTGTGATAACATAAAATGATGAAGATGACATGAAAGCAAGATTACCAACTGCAGGGTGTTTCTGCCTTGTGGGCCGACCGGCCGCAGACTTCTAGGTCCGTGCTCAAATATACAACCATCGGGGTTAATTGTTGTGTTTACCCAGCCTCCGACACGCTTCGAACTTTCTAGAACAATAACCTGGGGAAAAGAAAGCAGAAAACAAAAATTATAACTGTTTTCTGAAAAACGGTTCTTCTTCTTCTTCTTCTGCCTTTCTATCCCCCAATGGAGCATAGGCATTCAACCAACTCACGTCAAGTCGTTTTATCCTTCGCCATTGCATGGAGCTCTCCCCACAAGAAGAAGAAGAAGAAGAAGAAGAAGAAGAAGAGGAGGAAGAAGAAGAAGAAGAAGAAGAAGAAAAAAGAAGAAGAGGAGGAGGAGGAAGAAGAAGAAGAAGAAGAAGAGGAGGAGGAGAAGGAGGTGGAGGAGAAGAAGAAGAAGAAGAAGAAGAAGAAGAAGAAGAAGAAGAAGAAGAAGAAGAGGAGGAGGAGGAAGAAGAAGAAGAAGAAAAAGAAGAAGAAGAGGAGGAGGAGAAGGAGGTAGAGGAGAAGAAGAAGAAGAAGAAGAAGAAGAAGAAGAAGAAGAAGAAGAAGAAGAAGAAGAAGAAGAAGAAGAAAATAAGGAATATGGAACATGAATTAATAAATCTGGAGAGACCGGCAGATACAGGGAAGATTCTGTTTCTGAGACAAATGTCATGAACAAACAGGCATCTTGTGTGACACTGACCACATCATCCCTCAAGTGCTAACTGCTCAAAACACATGAACCAGAACCATATAACTTAACCAGGGTTTTTCACTAGGAAAAAACCTTGCTGGAACACACCATAAATGGTCTAAACAGGTGTCGGAACTTAAAGTGTCTTTAAAAATGGTGGCGGGAGTCACCATAAAGTCTCTAAAAAGGCGCTGGAACTAACTATAAGGTGTCTTTTAAAAGGGTGTCGGAAGTCACCATAAAGTGTCTAAGGCACTGGAACTCTCTATAAAGTGTCTTTAAAAAAAAAAGGGGGGGGGGGGGGTGGCCGGAACTTACTATAACGTGTCTAAATAAAAAGTGCTGGAACTAACTAAATAGTGTCTTTAAAAAGGTGCTAGAATTCACTAAAAAATGTCTTTAAGAGGCGCTGGAACTCACTATAAAGTGTCTAAAAAAGGCGCTGGAACTCACTATAAAGTGTCCAAAAAAGGCGCTGGAACTCACTATAAAGTGTCTAAAAAAGACGCTGGAACTCACTATAAAGTGTCTAAAAAAGGCGCTGGAACTCACTTTAAAGTGTCTACAAAAGGCGCTGGAACTCACTATAAAGTGTCTAAAAAAGGCGCTGGAACTCACTATAAAGTGTCTGAAAAAAGGCTGTAAACTGGTGAAAAGTTTCAATTGTTTGTCCATTTCTGGACTTTTAGTCTTGTTCCAGAACTTGTGTTCTACTGTACATCCATTTTACAGATCAAGCTTATTTGTATGCAGACTGTTGGTTCCTTGCATCCATTTTTCAGATCTAGCTTATTTGAATGCAGACATTTTGTTCCTCTCTCTCAGGAAAGACCCCTAATTAATGGGTCCACAATGGGGCCCCAGAACCCACACAGGGAACACAAACATTTCAAAACCAACCTTTGAAAACTGTGGAAGATATCTCTGAATGTAGTAAGCAGATGCGAGCCCACTGACTCCACCCCCAATAACGACGGCTGTTGACATGATTTCTGACTGCTACAACTGGTCCATTGCTGTAGAAGTGTTACACTGATAGTGCAGATACCTGAAACCGGAAGTCATAACTGGGAGATTGTTCCAGAATCTGTCTGATGATGCAAGACACACAGATTCCCTGTGTGGGTTCTGGGGCCCGTGTGGGAGGAGAAAAGAGAGAACAGACCCTCTGCCTCTTAACTCTTCAAGGCCCAAGCCACTCCGTTAGTGTTGATTGAGAAGTTCTGATTTGCACAGACAACACTGTCAGCGTCGATCATGTGACCCGTACATATTGCTTAGCACACGGCTCCGTATTTGTTTCTAATGTTCCGAACCACCATTAAAGTATTCAGGGAAGGTTACTCTACTGTTTTCCTTTGAATAACATTCTGTTTTCCAAAACACATGGGCAGATTGATCCGATTAACTCTTTCAGGCCCATGAATTTTGACAGACTTGGCCCACATTAATTTCCCTTTACAAAAATGGCAGAGGGGTGGGTGCACAAGAAAGGCTATAGAGATTGTAATATATTTCAAATCCCTATAAAAGTATATATATTTTTTTTAAAGAGAAATTAATGTACTTTTTGAATCTGATGATAAGTGTTTGTTTGATTTTGTTATAGTTAGTGGAAAAGAAGAATTCAGCAGGTGTTAATTTCACAAGGACAACATTTCACACAAAAATTCTTCACTTACCATGGTTTTGCAGCCACAAGAATAGTAAATATCCAAATTTGAGAACAAAACTTCAAAGTTTGTTCAATTTCCTAACATATTCTAAAGCTATGATAACTTTCTGGGTTAGTTTATCACTCAGGGGCTCTTAGTTCCCACTGAGTGCTAAGCAAAATTTCAGAGAAAAAATGGCAGAAAAATGAGCCATAACACACACACTATTTACTATTCACTTTGTACAGTTATTTACAGACTGTAGCTGCGATGATTTCAATGTAGCTTAGCCATAGTATAGTACTGTCTCTTTGTTTAGAGCACTTTCCTTCTCTTACACCATAAATACGGTAGAATGGGACATTGTCTGCGTAATAAACTCGTCAGAATCGCTAGATTCCGAACAGCTGATCGCTCAGCTTCACTGGCGAAAATTCACTGTCCGAATCACTTTCCGAAAAATCTAAATTTATTATCATTATCACAATTAAAAACATCTGACTGAAACAATTTCAGAGCTTCGGCTGCAGAAAGACGCATTCTGCGACCTGTTCTTGTGGTTAGAACATTGGCATTCAGTGCACTCAAAAACGAACTTAGAAAATGAACTGTTAAAAAAAATTTGATGTTTCTTTCTCTCAAATTATCCACGTGTGGTTTAGTCCAAGAAATGAAACTAAAAGGATTTCGGCAGAGTGACTTTCCCTGAATAGGTTATTCGTACCTCCAAACATTAGAAACTAGTACGAACGCGCGTGCGAAGCAAAATGTAAGAGATACACAATTGACGATGACACCATTGTTTTAGCAGAACGGAACTTCTCAAACTACGCTCACACCTTTGTTTGGGCCTTAAAGAGTTAATAGACATCGCTGAACAGTGCATCTTTTCAGTTTTTGAGTGCTATGGACACCAACGTTCCAACAAGTACAGGCCACAAAATGCGTCTTTCAGCTGCCAAAATTCAAAAAAATGTTCATTCGGATGTTTTTAGTTCTGATAATGATAATTCTGATTTTTCGGAGAGTGATTCGTACGGTCAATTCACATCAGCGGAGGCTGAGCGATCAGATGTTGAGGAATCTAGTGATTCTGATGAGTTTGCACAGAGAATGTTCCATTGCTACCGTATTTAGGGTGTAAGAGAAGGAAAGTGCTGAGAAGGAAAGTGCTCCAAACAAATAGACAGTACCATACAATGGCTAAGCTATACTGAAATCATTGGAGCAACAGTCTGTATATAACTGTACAAAGTAGAAGTAAATAGTAAGTGTGCAATTGCCCATTTTTCTGCCATTTTTTCTCTGAAATTTTGTTCAGCAATCTGTGAGAACTAAAAGCCGCTAAGTGCTCCTGAAATTTATCATAACTTTGAAATTTGTTTGGAAATTGAACAAACTTAAAAGTATTATTCTCAAATTTGAATATTCACCGCTCATGTGACTGCAAAACCTTGGTAAGTGAAGAACTTTTTTGGTAAAATTCTGTTGTTTTCAAATTAACACCTGCTAACTAAATTAACTTTTTTCCTACTAACTATAAACGTATTAAACATATACTTATCATCATATAAAAATGTACATTCATTTATCTTTAAAAACATATACACTTTAGTAGGGATTAGAAATATATTACATTCTCTATTGCCTTTTTTTGTACACCACTACTTCTGCCATTTTTGTGAAGGGAAATTAATGTGGACAAAGTCTGTCAAAATTAATGGGCCTGAAAGAGTTAAAACTCATGTCCTAATAGGCGACTACTTAGGGGTTTGTTGAAATCAGATGGGATGAAGACACAGGGCACAGATAACACTGCCTAGCTGTAAACCACAACAAAACAAGTCAATCGTCTTTTTAAGGGCAAAAACACAAGGAGTAGAAGAAGAAGAAGAAGAAGAAGAAGAAGAAGAAGAAAAAGAAGAAAAAGAAGAAGAAGAAGATGATGATGATGAAGAAGAAGAAGAACTAGGAAGAAGAAGATGAAGATGATGATGAAGATGGTAAAGAAGAAGAAAAAGAAAAAGAAGAAGAAGAAGAACAAGAAGAAGAAGAAGAACAACAACAACAAGACAAAAAATAACAAGAACAAGAAGATGAAGAAGAACATTTACAGCTTCAGCTGCAGTACTGCTTAAAGACAATAAACAAGATCTGCAATATGCAGACACTTTCAATCCTAAGCAAGTCATCATACGTTCATAGGTTCCTGCACAGAAACCCAATGAACACAAGATGTGCCGATATTACATTTCTATGTACTATCCCTTGGGCCTCTGATGTAAAACACCCTGGGACTGAAAGATTTAATGCAGTAATAGTGGTTCTTGAGACGAATGTAAAGCACAAGGCAAACCTGGTCGAGATAGATGAAACTCATAAGTGAAGAAAAGGTAGCTTTTCAACGTCTTTAGGTGTATTGGAAACACAGGGCTAGACCTATATTTTTACAGACCAATCAGCGCTTGGTGGATGATGTGGTCAGCATCACGCCGGCTGCCTTTACTTCCCAGGACTGCACCTGGTACCCACTCAAGGCTGGGCCGACCTGGGAGTGAAGATATGAAACTCATAAACTGAGTAAAAAAAATTAAACATAGAATGTTGAATTAAGAATCGATATCACAGCACTTCGGACACTCCTTTAAGCGCTCCGTCTCCATCTTTGAAGCAAAGAGTTCCAATTCCGATGGCACCAGTAAATGACTGTATATCTGTCTCACCTTTCCCCTGAGTGTTAAGCATCGGCCAGATCCTCCTAGTAACTTCCTGCAGCTCCATTCTCCTCAGACTAATAATCTGTTTGTGCCTCTGCACTATTCACTCGCTCCCAAAAGGCCATCACAACATTTAGCTTGTCATACATTAATTCACCACCAAGTGGTGCAGAACCGGCCAGTCTATCTGCCTGCATGTATTTTTTTTTTTTTAATAAATAGACTCAGGCATTCAGTACTGCTGAGACGTTACAAGAACGACTGTACTTGAGAACTTGGTTACAACAAGTAAGAGGAATGGAAAAAGCAAAAGGAACATAAATACCAGGATGGCTTAGCATTATGGATGGGTTTGACACAAAAGCAAAGACCTGATCCATGATTCTGGTGATCGTGTGAGAAAGCAAAATATAACAGCCTATGCTGACTGGCTCATCTTCAGTCTTTTGTCATTGTCTTTATGGTTTTATTTGTTTCTTATATTTGTAGTATTGTGCATCCAAGACTTTTGTTTTCTCTCAGTTTGCAAAGGTACAAAGTAGTGGAAACTTTCTTTTTTAGCATTGTTCTAATAAATACTTTGTTGGGTATAGAAACAAATTTTAACAGAGTCCCTGTGATGAGTATCAGCACTTTTTTCAATAAAAACAAAGTCCTGCTTGCAGCAATCCAGCACAACATACGTCTTTTGTCCTTTACACAACTGCAAGACTCAAGTCTCTCTGGCTTGACTAAGCTACACAATCTGGTCCAATGAATGTCTGATGTCTCATCTTGAGTCAATGTTTGGGATAGGTTTCTTTTTCTTCTTCTTCACATTCACCAGCTTTAAACTTTGGTGGAAAGTTCTGGTTGTTTGTCCACTTCTGGACTGCAGTCCTGTTCCAGAACTTGAGTGTTGCGTGTGCATCCGTTCAAAATATCTAATTTTTATATAGACTGCTGGTTCCTTGCCTCTAAGGCAGATACACTCTGACTTTGAAGGAAGCTCCCAATTAGTCGACTCTTACGACATGCTTTTGGCTAGAGTATGGCTGGGAGTAAGTATAAAAATGTGGGAGTAAGTGTAGGGGGTAAGTTTAGGAGTAAATGCGGAGCTACAATTCAGAATATATGTTGGAGGGAAGGGGCGGGGGGGGGGAGGAGTTTAGGAGTACGCTGGGCGCCGGAAAAAAAGGGTGAGGGGTGGTTTCTGGCTAAGTGGTATCCCGTTCCCAGAACGGTTCTGAGGGTTGTGGGTTGGTTACATGGACAGCGACGCGTCGTTCAGTTTACTAGTGCAGTATTACAGAGATCCCTGGACGCTGTCCCCAGAACTCAATCAATCAATCAGGTGCCGTCTCCACAATGAAGGTTGAATGCAATGGATCTCCAACAAGCCCTGTCTCTTGCCCTTGATGTACACTCGCTCATACTGCTGTTCGTCCATCTCTTGATGTTATCCTCCTACTCCTACATAACGCTGTCTGCCTCTTGCCCGCCTACCTTGAACCTTTCCCTCTAGGATGATCTTTACAATACTGTTATGTCTTTTATGTCCCGGAACTACGGAAAGTCTACTTTGTGCGACGCTTTCAGTAAGGCTAGTGGAGAGAGATGGGGTCATATGAGATAA